GACCGGCTGGACGCTGACAGAGCGCGCAAAGTGGCCAGGCGAGGACGCAGGCGACACCGTATTGACACTGGCGTCGAGCGGCTGAGTGGGCCGCTGATCAGGGAAGCTTACGAGGCTGGCATCAGCCCCACATCCCTCCTTTTCCGTCCTCTTCTCCCAGCCCCACAGATGGCCGAACAGGGGCCCGTGCGACTCGTGAGGCTGAGCGAGCAGGCGCCTCTCTGACAGGTCATGCCGAGCCGTCGTGGCTACAGGTGACACCTTTTCACACGCATGTGTCGCCAAACTGTACTGGCAGACTTTTCCTTGATGCATCTCTGGCTCCGGACGCCCCCCTGAAGAAGTGCACACGAAACGGAGGGGGGGAGGGGGAGGAGGAGGGAGGGAGGGGGAATCTCAGAAAGGGGGGGAGGCAAGAGGGAGGGGCGAAAAAGGATGGTCCAGCGCGAGCACTTTGCAGAGAAGGGGCCGTGCCTACGCAGCCCTGCTCGACCAGTGCCCGTCAGGTGCGCCGTGTGTGCATCGCACGGCTCAGGAGAGCGGGGCTGCAGCGGAAGCGGAGGATGCGGTACGCTCAGGAGCTGTTGCTGAGCGTGCCGCGACGGCGGCCGCGGCGACACGCCATGCCCTGCAGGATGATGGAGCGTCGCTCCGCTCCACGTGGCGGGAGGCTGGGAAAGGCCCGGATCCCGACGCTCGGGGAACAGGACATGTTTACCGTCACGCGCCGGAGCGTGGTGGGTCAGAACAAGCGGCACGGCACGCCAAGACAAAGTTCCTGCCATTAGTGAGGTGGAAGAGGTTGCGGCCTGTGGACGTGGAAGCGCGGAGGCAGCGGGGGGGGAAAGTGGAGTCCCAGGTAAAGACAATCCAGCTGATTTGGAGGGGGTGATGCATTCGCTTTGGGGGACAGATTTGCCCTTCGAGATACGTCGGGATTCACATGTCGACTTCTTCTGGGTGAAGGAAGAAGGTCGCTGATCTACTTCGTGTGCATTTCCTTGTTTCGTTGTGTTGTGTTGAGGCCATCAACTTCCGGTAACTGGTCGCTGCACGAACGAGGAGAGAAGGCAGAACGAGGAAAGAGTATGCGGGAGCGGACGGAGTGGGACGAGGGATCTCTCCCTCCTACTACTATCAACACGACTTCTACTACTACTACTACTACTACTGCTACTACTATTACTACTACTACTACTACTACAACTACTACTACTACTGCTGCTACTACTACAACTACTACTTCTACTATTGCTACTACTACTACTACTACTACTACTACTACTACTACTACTACTACTTCTACTACTTCTACGCCTACTACTACTTCCTCTACTACTACTACTACTACTACTACTACTGCTGCTACTACTACTACTAGTACTACTGCTGCTACTAATACTACTACCACGACTACTACTACTTCTACTTCTAATTCTACTTCTACTTCTACTACTACTACTACTACTACTACTGCTACTACTACTACTACTACAACTACTACTACTACCTGTACTACTACTACAACTACTACTTCTACTACTACTACTACTACTACTATTACGCCTACTACTACTACTACTACTACTACTACTGCTGCTACTACTACTACCACAACTACTACTACTACTACTTCTTCTACTTCTACTACTACTACTACTACTACTACTGCTGCTACAACTCCGACTACTACTACTACCAATAAAATGACAAAAACTAATACTAAAACTACCGGTACTGCGATTACTAGTATTACTACTCCTACAATGACTACTGCAACTACTACTATTACTACGACTACTACGATTAAGATTTACGACTACGACTACAACAATACTGAGACTACTGCTTCTACTACTCCTACTACTACTACTACCACTACCACTTCTACTACTGCTACTTATACTCCTACTGTTACAACTACAACTACTACAACAACAACAACTACTACGAATTCTACTACAGCTACGACTACTACTACGACTACGACTACTGCTACTTCTACTACTACTACTACTACTACTACTACTACAAATGCTACAAATACTACTACTACTACTACCACTACTACTACCACTACTACTACTGCTGCTACTACTACTACTACTACTACTACTACTACTTCTGTTTCTGCCACTACTACGACTACGACGACGACGACGACGACTACTACCACTACTGCTAGTACTACGCCTTCTACGACGCCTAAAACTACTACGACTACTACGATGCCACATTATATAACAACTACTACTACTACTACTGTTACTACTACTACGAATACGACTTCTACTATTACTACTACTACTACTACTACTACTACTACTACGACTACTACTACTACTACTACTACTACTACTACTACTATTACTACTACTACTACTACTACTACTACTACTACTACTACTACTACTACTACTACTACTGCTGCTACTACTACTACCACGACTACAACTACTTCTACTTCTACTTCTACTTCTACTACTACTACGACCACTAC